GGTTTGAATTCGTGGATCCCACAGGCAGTATGAATCTGAATTCTAAACCTGCATGAAGATTGGTCTGTGATTACGGTGATCACAAATTTTAATGGGATTTCTGCTTTCTTCATTTCACAGCCAGATGTTGAGGCAGATAAGCTTCCTAAATATCTTGTCTCCTTTAGTGGGGCAGCTTTTTTTTTTAATAGTTGGCCCTTTCATTGAGGTGGTGGCCCTTTAGAGATCTCGGCTCTCTGGGAAGTTCTCTCTTCCAGCCCCTCACTTGCACAAGCCCAGGCCTGTGCCTTCAGCATCACACTTAAAGCCCAAGGCTCTCAAGTCCTAGAAACCAGCAATCACCCTTAGAACTCCAGCTTCATAGCCACTTACGATGCTATAGGTTTGTGCTCCCACATTTTTCGTTTCTGAAAATTTTATGTTCTTGAGAGAGCAGAAATGTAACCAGAAGTATGTTTTTAATTTTGCATCCGGAATGTTCAGGTGTTTTTAGCTGACTTGTTTTTAGGATATCATAAAACCTGAAATGGAAGTGTCTAGTCTTTCTTTAAAAAACAAAAAATGGGGGAGAAGTTTTGACATTCCACAAGAAAACGGAAGGATTAAAGCTTAGAGACTAGGGCGTCTCAGTGATAACCTTCTAATCCAGCAACGTCCAGGGGAACTTTCTGTGGTGATAAAATTGTTCCACATTTGCTGTCCAAGATGGCAGCCATGAGCCATATGTGGCTATTAAGCACTTGAAACATGGCTGCACGACTGAGGAACTGAATTTTATATTTTACTTGCTTCTAATTAATATAAAGGTAAATAGTGCATGTGGCTAGTGGCTATTGGACAGGGCAGTGCAGAGCCGTCTACTGCTTCCAAACAAGCTGGACTGAAAAATGATCAACAGACAAACGCCTTTTTCTAGAAAGCAGAGACTTCACTCCCCTGAAGTTTCCACCAAAGCCACCATAATTTCAACCGGTCTTGCTGATAGTCCAGCTGGTCACTGAAGCTTTTGCGGGGACTGGGGAGGGAAGCTAGAGAAAGTGCTAGAAATTGAAGTGGACCACAGCAAGCTCACCCAACAGTGCTTTGAAACCCTTCTCCTCAGTATGCTCCCACCCACCAAATTAAAAAAAAAAAAGAAAGGATGAGTAGAAAACACCAATGGTTTGCAGACAAAAAATGCTGCCCGTCATTTCAATAAGTAACAAATATTGCCTATCATCAAGCCATCAGCCATGGCAGCCGCCCCAGTGGAGCACCTTGAGGGGAATTCAGGATGAAGAGAAACAGAGTACTGGCCCCAGATAGTTAAGACACATATCTAAGGAATAATTTCAGTGAGCCCAGACTCTTGCATCTTCCTGTACATAGAAAAGCAATAAAATCATTAATTCAAGATGTCTATTTTTTGTAATATCTTGATTTTCAAATACATGTTTCGTTTTTTGTGTTTTTTTACCAGCAAAAACTCATATATCCTGGCTCCTCCCTTACCTCTTTGGAACAGTTCCTCAGCATTATTTGAGAGGCTGTCTCCTGGGCTATATTTCTCAGTAAGGTTGCCAAATAAAATATAACTCTCAAATTTTAGGTTGTGCGTTTTTTTCAGTTGGCAGCTTTCAGCAGAGGTGAACTGAGTTTTCAGGAGGTGATGTTGATAGGCTGCTGGTCCCTGGAATGGCGTGCTCAAGAACTGGAGGCTGCAAAGAAATAATAAGTAAAAATTTTATATGGCCAAAAAAAGAAACAAAAGAAACTGATAGATGAATCATATTCATGCTGTAAACCACATCTGCGGGTAGCACGGTAGACACACGGTCAAACTGGTGGAAACCACACAGGACACCGTGAGGGGACAGGCACCCCCTCCCTCCAGCCCCCATATTCCCAGCCACTTATACGTAGAAAAGCTTTGGCCTCCTAGGCCCTCCTCGAGTTCCAAAGAGCAATCTAATCAGAGAAGTGAGAAAATGCTGAAACAAAGGGAAACAGTCAAGCAAGACTAAGTAACAATAGTTTCTCCTCAAGGGCCAGAGATAACATCCTGAGACATAACCTAGAGTTATTCTGCAGATACGGAAACTTCCAGCAGGTGGAAGAAGTTAACTGCAAACTCGGTGCTGACCACAACCAGCAAGACCCCAGACTGGCTGTTCCAGCCAGAAGGTTGAGGTTAATTCCTGAAATAACCCCCACTTACCTCACCACCAACCAATCAGAAGAATGTCCACAGAGCTGATCAGGCACTGGTCAACTGACTCCCCACCTTTTCTTTAAGAACCCTTCCCTGAAAGCCAGCAGGGAGTTCAAGGGTTTTGAGTATGAGCTGCCCCTTCTTGCTTGGTTCCACCTTAAGAACCTTGCAGTAAAAGCTGTACTTTCCTTTACTACAACCCAGCATGAGTAGATTGGTTGGTTGAGTGCAGAAGACCCAAGTCTGGTTCAGGAACGGATATAGAGGGGCAGAAGCCTCCAGCCCACACGGAAAGAAGCACGCAATGAATAGAAGCTGTCTCTGTTCACTTACCTTTCTTTTCAGCATAAAGTACTCAATGTATAAAGAACTGAACACGTTGAAAATTTCTGTAAAATGAAAATGGTTGAAAAATGGGAATGGTTTTACGACCTCTCTCAAAAAAAACCAAACAAAAACAAGAAATAAGATTGGCTGAACACATTTGTTTCAGAAACATTCTTTCCACTGTAATCAATACAGGTACAGTTCTGATTAAAATGTATTCATACAAGGTGTCAAAGCATTCAGAGTCCAAACGGTGTTTTCCAGCTCCGGCCCCCAGGGAGGCTGGGGCTGCCCTCTCTACTGTAGCTCTCTAGCCCTCCTGTTAAGGGACTTGCTGCCTTCTTCTCTCTTTCCTCAGCATCGACCTCCACGAAGGGACCACAGACAGGTAATTCGAATTAAAATGCTCATTCTGGACGGGTCCCAAGGATCAGCCCTGCAAGGCTCCCTGGAGCCGGCAGGGCTGCAGGCTCCCGCGCGGAGCACGTCGGGAGTCGTAGTCACGGCTCCTTCGGGGAGGTGGGAGGAGGTGGCCCGGGGAGGGGCGGGGCCGCAGCCGGGAAGGGGCGGGGCCGCGGCCGGGGCTTGCGCAGGCGCACACCTCGCGCCGGGCAGCATGGCGGACACAGCGTCTCAACCCAGCAAGAGAAAGCGCGAACTGGACGCCGAGGAGGCCGAGGCGCCCAGCACTGAGGAAAAGGAAGCAGGCGTTGGGAATGGTACCTCTGCCTCTGTGCGCCTACCTTTCTCCGGCTTTAGAGTGAAAAAAGTGCTGAGGGAGTCTGCGCGGGACAAAATCATTTTCCTAC